CACCCCCCCCCCCCCCCCCCCTTAATTTTTTGGAAAAGTATGCAAGTCCTCTTCTACCTTTTTTTTTTTGGCTCCTAGAGGAAAATGAAGCCTAGGGCTTTTCTAATTTTCTGTTTTTTTTTTTTTTTTTAAATTTTTGGGTGAGGTTGGTGTCCTTGGAAATTGCTATGAGTTGAGTTCACTGTTTACGCGGCCAATCGACATTCACTTTGACTAAAATCTGTGCAACATTATTTGCATTTTTGTGCTTCTATAGATCAACTTCTAAAAATATTTCTCAAGAAAATAAAATTGGGATCTTTCTTCTATTTCTCCATTTCCTTTTCCCATAGCACCGGTAGGAGGAGACCAGGTCTATTTTTTTCTTAGATTTAGTGCTCTCGATCCGCGCAGGTGAATTGTTCACGACCACAGCAGGAGGGGACTTTACGCCGCACATGATAACTGTATATACCGGAGAGGTAGTGAGAATTTTGCTAGCTCTTGAAAGGTTCTTTTTGCAGATTTGCCTGTGTATCTGACATTTTATGTGGGTATTTTTAATAAACAGGACGTTGCAGGGAAGATCATTACATTTGCTCAGAAAGGTCCTCGAGGGATTTGCGTTCTTTCTGCTAATGGTTCTGTCTCCAATGTTACGATTCGCCAACCTGGTTCTTCTGGGGGTATCTTGACATACGAGGCATGATCTCATCCATGAGGAATTTTGATTTGTAATTGTTTTATTCTTTCGGTCACATTCATTACAACTAGATCTGGATTTTGTTATACTAACTTGGATATAAACTTTGCAGTCTTTCAGATATCAACGCCTTTACATTTTCATTCATGCACACTTGCACATACATGGTGCCGTGTGGTCTGTGTATACACATTTATGCATTTCCCACTCGCTTTTTATTCTTTTTCCAACATATAATTATGGAGTCAAGAACACGTGTTCTTGTCATGCTTTTATCTTGTTGCAGGAACCTATCCATTATTCCTAGAATTGAATCGAAGTTATGTTATGTGTACAGTGAAGCACAAGAAATTTCTGTTTTTGAATCGAACCTGTTACTTTGAACCTAGTTAAAGTACTATTTGTGCTTGAAGTAGCATATTATTTGGAGAAGGCCCTATTTTCAGAGCATCTAGCTTTTCCTCACTCGGTTCTTTGATTTAGGAGTCATGAATTTACTAAAGGATCCCTATAATATAAACTGCACCCTCGCGTTGCAGAAAATGAACAGAAAATTTTCGAAATAGTATTTTTGTTCACCTCGTTTAGAATCCGGGTGCTCCATGCTCTATACTTGCAGTGATCTCTCTCTTCTGAAGGTCTTTTATTGCTATCAGTCGTGCTTGCTAAAATAATTGAGCAATTTTCACCTGGGATTCTATGAGACTATATTTGCCTTAATCGTGTTTGAGCTTTTTGAATTTGAATTCAAATGCAAAATATTTTGTGCAGGGGCGCTTTGAGATTTTAACCTTAACAGGATCATTCACATCTTCTGAAAATGGCGGGATAAAAAGTAGGACAGGCGGACTAAGTGTTTCTTTGGCTGGACCTGATGGTCGTGTTATTGGTGGTGGGATTGCGGGTATGCTAATGGCTGCTAGTCCAATCCAGGTAAGCCCTTTTCATCGACTCTTGCATGCGCAGATTGTATCTGTAAGTGATACAATAACTTGTGTCTCTTTCGACGTGCACATGTGTACACTATCTTTTACGTGCCTTTGTGTGTAGACTTGCATTTTTTTTCAAGGTATAAGCATATCTACTTCAGAGATACGAGACATCTTGCTATTTTTGGTTCCTCGTAAAAGGCAAATTTCCATTTTTGGAAAAATATGCTCTTCTGACTCATTACCTCGGGATAACACGACCTCTAGTTTCCAGAGAGCATAAAGAAGAAATTTTGAAAACTACTTCTCCAAGACAATTAGTAGAGTTTATTACACAGATAGACCTGCATATAGGTGTCCAAGAAGAGAAATGATGGGTAAACCATTGACATAATACCTCAGACAGATAAATTTGATCATATTCCTACCTCATTGTAAGTTGAATTTAGTTCAAACGTTGCGTCTCAATAGACTTTGGAAACTACAATCGAATTGAGGGAAAAAAAAATGGGGTCAGTTGCAAGATCCATTTTCTGTCATTCCACTGCATCCATTGCTAAAATTCCTTCCTTACAAAATATTTCTTAATGGAACAATGTTGTTCTTGACAAGGCTCATATGCCTGTATCCTAATTTTAGTGGTCTTGGACAACCATATGTTATATCTAAATGAAAAACTAACCCTCACTATATTGTTGCAAAATTTACGCGTGTTCTGATTTACTTTGCCAGGTTGTTTTTGGAAGCTTCATGCCAAATTGTTACAAAACTCCCAAAAGAAAGCATAATCTTGAACCCAGAGTGGCTCCTCTGGTCCTGAGTCCTCCAGCTCCAATGACAGTGGCAACACCAATATCTCAAGCGGCACCAGAAATCAACATCTCTCCAGTTCCACCATCTCAATTTCCAGTTCCGAATCAGCAAGAAACAGATAATGACACAACCAAAAAAGGGTACCCGTATTCTACATCTAAAGTTACTGCCGACTGGAATGGCACAGAGCCAATTTCTAATCAGAGACCATCTCCGGACATTAACATCTCAGTATCTGTTGAGTAGCAATGTAACAAGTCTATAACTAAGTAGATTTATGATACCATAGTTTTAGCTTTAGGCATATGCAAGTGACTCAAAGAGGCTAACATGGTTAGTCGTAAGATGCATAACTTATCTTTGTTCTTCTTCTTGTGAACATTTAGTCTAGAGTCCCTGTGAATTTTCAAATGAGGGTGTCTAGAAACTGGTTCTGTTGATTGTATGGATGCATGTTCTTTTGAATGATAATTTTATTTTATCTTTATAAATTGTTTTGCCTGATGTCTCAGTCCACAAATAGTTTACACTGAGTTTCAAGGAATCTTTTTTGAAAGGCTTTTACCATGATCTGAAATTGTTGAGATTCAGATTCTGGGATGAGGGGACTTCTATTTTTGCTGTTTTAGTACGAGTAACCTATTCACTATGGCTTGTATGATATAGTGGATGACATGTATAAATAATCGAGTTCAGTATTATGAATTAAACTTACACTAAATTGTTAAGCACAAGAACTGAAGACTTCTCATGCACCAGTGGATAGTAAACAAAATTTGAGACTTTAAGCCGATTGGATATTTGGATCCTTGCATGAATGAAGAAAGATTAATATAAAAGCTTAAGCATTTCAAACAACAAGCTTCAAATCCAAAAGGCAGCAAATAGTACGGGCATTCAATTATTTCTGTAAGATTTTTTACAGCAGTTTCTTGAGTTGATCATTCTGGTTTACCTTTACTTGTATCACCATCTTTTTCTTCCTTGCCAAATTCGCGAACGATCTTGGAATAATAATTCCAGTCAGAATGTGAAGATGTTATTGGAGGATATCCGAACCTATGCTCTTCCACATAAGAAGGAACATCGTCAGCATCTGCGACTCCTTGCAGAAATCTACGCAACCAACCATTTGTACCTAACACATTCCGATTGCAAATCAGAATCAGCCCTCGAAATATATACATTTCTAAAACCAATTTGTAAATCTGACCTAAAAATGTATCTTTGCTGTCATGCCTTTTGTATGGCCGCGGAAATATTGCTGTATTAGGCTGCAGAAAAAGAAGAAGATGCAATAATATTAAAGAAGAAATTCATCTCTTGAGTTTGTAAATAGATTAAATTCCCAGAATGATGTAATTACAGGATTCAGCAGAGATGTATGGGGTTCGTCATCAATCAACAATGTATTCGACGATGAATATTGTCCCCTACGCCAGGGAAGATCGAGGTACTTCTTTTCCCACAGTCGATTCAAATCCTTCAGATACAAGGGCTTTTCCACCTTTCTTAAACAGTGAAATCCAGAATCTATACATTCCTCTTGACCCTATAAAGCAGATTCAACAAATGTCAGAATTTCCAAAATCAGCATTTAATTGAAGACAAACATGATGTGATCCAATTATAATCTTTGCGTGAATGTGGCTGTGAACTTACCCAAACAAATGCCAACTTGTTTTTCATTCGAGGACTACCAGTGATGGAGATCAAAAGAGCATCTATATTACGCCTATTCATTTCAAAATCAGTGATCATATATCAGAAAAATTGTACATAAAATAAGAACCCACAATGAAAAAGTGAATTAATCACTTACTCAGTAGCAGAAGACCATATACCCACTTCAAATCTTTCAAGGCAGAATTGCATAAAATCAGTACAGAAAGGCCTCTTGAAAACTGTTTTGGAGTGATCAAAATCATGAAAATAAAAAACCCAACAAAAGTTTAATAAAAAAGGGGGTACATATTTTTACCAAGAAATTTGCCGTAACGCATATCAGGGATTAATTTTTGAACAGTGCTCCAATGTTTTATGTAAACTCTGTGTACCAATAATCCACCAAGACAGAGCACAAGCAGTTTTTTCTTGGGACCTAGATTTAATTTCTCCAATGAAATGTTTAATTCATTTCCATTATTATCCTTCTTTTCATCTTTGTTGCTTTCATCAGAAATCACATTCTTGAACTTCAGATCTGGGAGTTTGACTGCCATTTGAAGGATGACTTTGCATGGACCAGAGGAATTCTATTCGTGGCTGGTGAACTACTCACTTTTCTGTATTTAATTTGTCAATAGGCTAAGAATTCCACTCGGCCCACTCCAATTTTTCCACTATCAATTTTTTATTATAAATTTGGTACTGTATATTTGGACGAATGCGATATCATGAATCAAAGAATATGCTTTGCCCTGTTTGAGCCTTTATTTATAAAAGATGTATCTTGGAATAGTGGATTGATAGAGAATATATAGTTAAAAAATAAAATAAAAAATAAAATTTATGTGTTATATTATTTTATGGAAAAATGTGTGATTGAAAAGAAAAGAAAGAAAAATATATTTTAAAAATAATGAAAATCAAACCAGGATGGATAAGAGGAAGTTTAGAACTTAATCAATTACGCTCATAATATTTTTATTTCCTAAAATTGTGTGTCACCTCAATCGAGATGGAAGTGGACCCTACCAATTCATGGTCTAACCAGCTGGGATGCATCATTCAAAAAGGTACTTAAGAAAGTTCGTCTCGTCAACTTTAAACACGCATTTGCACCGAACTATTAGAGTGAGAAAATCGATAAGAAGAGCAATGAGTAATAACGCGCTTTGATCCATTACTTCTTTGCTAAGTTGTCTCTAATGTCATCATTCAATTCTGGAGTGTCTATGTGCAATTTTGATCTTTCATCGACTTTGTATGAATATACTGCTTTTTCATTATTGCCCTTATTTTTTTTAAAAGTAAAAAATTAGTTTCTTTAATTAAATTTTAATTAAAATTAATAAAATGAATTGTTGAAAAGTTGATAAAAATTGTGGGCCTAATAAAATCTTATATCAAAATTAATTATTAATTTTGACTTATAATTTTTATCAACTTTTTAATTAAATCGAACTGGACGTTATCTTCATATTTCCCTGATTTACAAAAAGCATTCCACTAGACTAGGGGCCAACCAAATTGAATACTTTTCCACTGACCATACTGTTGTGGCTTTGATGTGTGCGGCTGTGAGCTGCCTTAGATTCCTTGAAACAACTTTAAAGATACCCAATCAAAAGAAATGTACGAGGTAGTCATTAGCACGTTGTCATATGCATGTCACCTAATCTCATGTTGGAATTTAGGGGTGTTTTGGAGTCCACCATTTATAGTTTAAGAATTTGTCAATAATAATTTTTTTAGCCTCGACATTCTTAGTTTTATATTTTCGATCCAACGACTCCTACAACTCCTTAGCAGTTTAAATAGTTCTATACACATTGTATAGCGTGTCTGTTAAACTGTTTATAATATAGTTTCGGCACAGGAAATCTGAATAGTTCCAAGCATCAAGTGCACTAATTGCTTGAACATCTCCCTCTCGCTCATTGAATTTTGGAGCAGTCTTAGTCAAAAATCTTGCAAGATTCAAAGTGGTCAGGTAAAATAACATTTTCTGTTGTCGCCTTTTGAAATTCAAGCCATTGAATTTCTCCAATTTTTCTCTATGATTGGTCAAAACATTAACGGTATGACCAGTTGTTGGAACCACAAGTTGACTCACATGACTTGACAATTTAGCCACAGTTTGAGTCATAACAGAGTTTGGCCCTTGAGCCATAGTAGAGTCTACAGCCTGATTTCCAGTAGGCACATTTTTTGTCACATCCATGTTGATCGATTCGGTTGCCATTTTTGAAAGTCAAACAAAAAAATTAGTTTTTTTAATTAAAGAAACCAAAATTTTTCTCAAAAATCCTTTTTAAGTTTGTTGAAATTTAGTGGTATTAATGAAACCAGATTATCATATACCGTATATATAGTTTAGATACTGAATTTAAGCATACCGTATATGCAGCTTACCGTATTTGCACTTATTATTGTTACCAATTTCGTATATATACCTTATTTTCACATACTCATTTTGCACATATCGAAATTTCAGATTAATATTACAGTAAAATTTTTCACATATCGAAATTGCAGTAATTTTTTTTTGTTTCAGATTTGAATTTTTAACATAAACAGAAATTAACGCAGATTAATTTCAATAAACATAAAGAGAACGATAATATAATAAAATTGCAAATTATATGAATCATACGAATAAACGCTAAATAAATAAATCTGCAATAATAAATTGTGAAGTGAAATCGTAAAATAAATAAATAGCAGATGAATTTTCAACTCGAGTCCTGTGCGAACACAGTTTCCTTAAAACAGTTTCGCCCCCTCACCGTAAGTGGTTGAGGTCTAATCCGAGTGTCTGTTTTCCAGGATATAACGATAAAGTCCGTAGAATCTGAGCACCACAGATACTACTCCGTCGAACTGAGTTTATATTCAAACAATATCACAACTAAGACGACACCGAAAATGCAACAGATTATGTATGCAGACAACACTAATTTGCAGAATATTTTCATGTGTATGCAGACAGTAATTTCCTGATGTGTACTCTTGTGGTTGGATTTGTTGGAAATGAGACATAATATAAGATTAAATCTGCCTATTAACTCTATAGCAATAAACACTGGAGTTGCTTCAATTTTTGGGAGTTTTGGCAGTTTTCGAAAACTCAAAGATCAGTTGGAGAAAGCAAAAAATTGCAAAACATGGACACTCCAAACGGGTCAATTTTTGCTTCGTTCGGTCCGATATTTGTGTATGCATGTTGCGCCCCCACACAAGTTCAAGGTCCGAAAGCAATTTCGGTCAGTGATTTGCACCCTCTGCGCGAGCATGTGGAGAGAGTCTCTATGTACACATGATTACACCATTTCAATGTGCAACAATATTTAAAGTGGTTCTTGCTTTCACATTTTTCTATGTGGGACAAACTCATTTTTCCCATATAAACCATCTTCCAATGGTCAACTTTGAGCTCCAATTTCTCATTCACCCGAATTTCATTTTTTGGTAAGTAAATATATGATTTCGATGCTCTCACGAAAGAGAACACAAATCAACTTTGATCTTTCGAATTGGACTAACGGGTCCTATCAAAAAGTGTGTCAAAAGTGAGTCATTTACTTATATTTTCCAACAGCTTAATGGTGTTAGACCGTCATCTAAATGAAAGACTTGTTACTTATTATGTGTGTTTCAACTCTATTTTGACAGATTGTTGTTGTATGTTTCTTGCCAAATTTTAGTCACTGTTTATGAAGAGAATAATTTAATCTGATGCTTTAAAAGAGGAAATTATAGTATCTAATAAATTGGAGGAAGCATTTGATATTAACCTTGACAACTTGACATTTGGTGCATGTTAGTACATAACACTTGATACAACGATACTGAATAAGAAAAATAAGCTAAAACATTTTCATCACTGGACAATTTCATCCAAAACGGTTCATGGATTTGATAAGTTCGACGATTATTGTTACGTGTTGTCATACTTGGCCAACCTACTTGGGCCTATGGCCCACTCAATCCAAACCACGTGGCACTCCAGCCGAGGTGGCATGTATGGTCGAGGCCTTTCATGCCGAGGCCCATATATCGAGGCCTATGAAAGTAGCCGAAGTCCATACATCGAGGCCCATGAACCAAAGCCATGATGCGAGATCACCGAAAAGATAGCCGAAGCCCTAAAGCGAAAGTATTACGTGAGTGGCAAAAGCCCTGAATCCAAAGCCGAAGCAGAAGCCTCCGAATCATGAAGGAACATCTTCCATGATCATTTCTCCCCGGAGATCTTCTACATAAAGATCTTGTTTGAATGATTGATGGAACGTTTGTCATAAGTGTACATGTCAAGTCTTGTCATTAGCATGGGGGTTCTGTATAAGCAATAAATGCGCAGCAAGCTAGCAAGTCAAGTCAAGGATGATGCCTAGGATTGGATGTTTGGATTAAAGAGATGAGGGCACGTGCCACCTCATCCAAGGGCCGCCATTTCACATGTACCACTATAAATACTTCCCTTGTGCAACATTAAAGGGCTAATGCAAGAATCAATACAAGAAACCACACTTTACTCTCTCTTTCATATTATCATACAACACAATACGAGTTCATACATATTTACATGCCAATTCATGAGCACCGATTGGTAATTATTGTACAATCGGATTACGAACATCCCGTCAAATTTCGAACGTTGTCGTCCCGCGTCGTTGAGCTACTCCTACTCCCCTGATCCATTCGTTCTAGACCGTCCATATGTCTTAGCGTGTAGGACCTTCGCTCACGTATGCGCGGATGGGTCCGACATCTGTTGGCAATATTTTTTGGGATCAACAAATGGACGCCGTCTGTGGAAAACCATACCATAACCACGAACAACCTTGTGGTGAAAGCTTATTGAAGAGCATTTTGGCATCCTCCTTGAAAAAGGATTTGTTCTTGAAAAAGAACAAGAGAAAGCCCCACAACTTAGCAAAATTTGAAAAGTCAGATGAAAAGAAAATGAGTTCAAATGAAGACACACCCCCCAGGAGGGTAAGAGAAAATGCGAATGTGCCTCCTCCACTCGCTGCCCCAGCAGCTCGGCAAAGACTCCAGCACCACCAAAGAAGAGGTGGAATGCGGGCAACGACACGATTGTCAAGAGAAATGGATGCCATGGCGGCCAACATGGGGGATATTTCTAGCCAAAACTTGGCTATGAGGGAGCTTATGGTCCAAATGCAGGGCCGCGGAGGCTTCCCCATTCCTCCATACGTCTCTCAAGGGCACTACCAGCAAGAAGATGAAGTTCAAAGTCATAGAGCTGTCTCGCCGGACTATAGCCGAGGTGGAAGCCCATTTGAAAGGGAAGTGGAATTTGATGTTTCCTCCAACTAAGCTTCTGGCCGACCCACCGAGATCCTGACATAGGAGGGTAGGTAGTGTATTTGACAGAATTAGCCCCGCTGAACCGAGACTTAGGCAACAGTAGACTCATCAGCCTTGGACAAGGCCACAGCCTCCACCTCCACCTCCAATGTCCCAGCAGCTGGAAGAAAGGCATGAAAATGCCCCCGCGTTGCTCTGCCTAGAAATAGGCACCAGATGGGGGAGGAAGAGGTTAGGAACCATCCCAAAACCTCTCACCAACAACCACGGTATGAGGCCGATGAATACGATTCAGATGAGCAATAGAGTTCCTGTGACTTGGATGATGACGATGAGAATCTGTCGTTCTCAAGGGAAC